CCAAAATTCCTGCCTTGATCCGTTGTGCATGCCAGCACAGAGCGCAAGTATTGGTCCCTAGCCGGCCCGGTTTCCAAGGAGATCGAATGCAAAAGTGCACTGTATTTGTGGGAAGCATCTGTGGCTGCATGACCCAGGCACACAGGTGGTAAGAGGCGCTGTCGGCTGGACGATTGCAGCCCTTCCATGAGGTCAAAGTCCTTGGCAGCGTCGTCCGCATCGATGTGCTTCAAGACATCGTTTTTCTTCATGTAAAGCCGAAAGTGCGTAAGCAGCTGGGTATACCTCAGAATCTCAGACATTCCCTTGTCCAACGATCCCGAAAGATCCGCAAGATTTCAAGTCTAAGCTTTAGAGCCAACGTTAAAGTTTNNTTATGCCTGAAGCCTACAGTGGAAGCCAGAAAGTTGGAACATGCACGCCCTCATGTGCCGGACTCCAGGCTCAGGGCACCATACAGGCTTGGAACGCTTGGAGGCTTGGGTCTTGGGGCTTTGGGGCTTTATGCCGAGTCACGGCATGGAAGTTTCTTGGATGAGCAAGAAATCTTTCTTGACTGGCGACGAGTCGAATGCCAACTGCACACACACCAGTTCATGCCCTTTGTCAGCCGGACGGTTCTGCAACTGAGCACCATCTGAGTCATCCGACTGAGATAGAAGAAGGTTGCCCCAGTACGCACGTCTGAGGAGCATCATTGCAACGTCAAGCTTGCCCTTCGCTCGGCTTAGCGTGGCCTGCCAACTGAGAGAAGTAACTACGTGCGTGAGATGACACAATGAGTCAGAGTCACAGTCGCAGTAGTGGTCAGTAGTAGTTGTCACCAGCAGCAAAGCACAAGAAAGCAACACGGCACTACCGCCAACGAGCACAGCCCAGCCTGACCGATGGCGATTTGTTTGGAGTCCAGCTCCACGTGTTGCCCCAGCACCATGGAACAAGATTTGGTGATCACCTTTGCCACGTGGCCGCACGATTGGAGATCCAGCGCCCTGGTGCTTCCGGCGTGTAACACTACCCTCTCAAACACCTCCCTTCTTCAATCCCCCAACTCCAACCCTGCGGTTTGTTTTGCAACCTAGCCGCAACTCACAGTATCGGAAAAGCTGCGTCAATGAGTACGATGGTCTGCCACCCTTCGGCCCGGCTTGCGTGCGCGGAGTCAAGTGAGAACATGCATGGGATCCATCCTCAGCATCACCAGCCCAGACTCCGACTCTGGATTCCGAACCCTGAGGACATCTAAGGACCATAAGGATACTGTGAATGCCCAGAATCCAACATGAATGGTTGCAGATCTTTCAAGGCGCCCGCAAAGGCCAATCTCTGATTCTCTGTGCCATGCTTCACAACGACAGGCGCAACGGTTTGGAGGCGGCCATAAACTGACCGAAGGGACTCAGCCAGAGTCGCCATTTTGTATGCCGAACATTCAGAGGTATGTATGCTGTCATATCTTGGGCAAGACTACACCCTAAACTTCGGAAACATCCAACCTGAGTGTAGGATTTACAGTAGGGGCTTAGGGTGTAGGTTCAGGAAGTTCAGGGTTTAGGTTTAGGGTTTCGGGGGCATCCAACCTGAGTGTAGGATTTAAGGGCTTAGGCTGCTTAGGGTGTAGGTTCAGGAAGTTCAGGGTTTAGGTTTAGGGTTTCGGGAAAGTTTCGGGGGTTTAGTTGTCGGCATGATTTGCCTGAAATGCCTGCAGAATGCCAGGATCAGAACTTATCCTAGGCCTAAAATGACCTAGTGTTTAACCGCACCCTACTAAACCAGAACTCCCTAAGAAAGGCTAGTGCAGCACAGGTTTTGGGCTTATTCACTGGACCCACCCCCAATAACCGGGGGGTTTCGGAAGTCCACAGTTTCCGTGGCTTCTGCAACACACATGTGTGTGTGCTGGCAGCAACACGCCAACAAGGCCATATTGACAAGACTTCCTGTTCCTTCGCGCAATGAACTGGTCTGACTGGCGGCAGCAGGAGTTTCACGCCAAACGTCCCAACGTTTGGGAATGGAATCAGAGTTCCGATCGCAACACACACACACACACACACACATGTACACGGGTGGCAGCGGCAAACCGACATCGAACCAATGCCACGGTTTCTGGTGGACGACCTCACACCTTTTCCTGGCATCTGCAACACACATGTGTGCGCAGATAGCAGCAAGTCAACAGCAAACAAACCAGGGCCCCAGTTTGGGCGTCTCTTAAACCGGGTTTCCCGGTAAGACAAGCGTGGACAAGCCAGCGCTAGCAGCAGCATGTCACCATTGGCCAGAACTCACCAAACCGATGCCATGCTTCCGTGGTTTCTGAGACACACACATGTGTGTGTGCGCTCCCACCAAACATGGCAACATCAATGAACAAATGTCACAGTTTTCTGTGCTCACATTTTCGGGCACATGACGGACCTGTGTTTGGCCCCTGCTTTCACATGTTAGGACAACCAAGTTTCCGTGGCTTCTGCAATACACATGTGCGTGCTGGCAGCAACACGCCAACGTTACTTGGGCCATATTGACAAGACTTCCTGTTTCCTCGCGCAATGAACTGGTCTGACTGGCGGCAGCGGGTCAATACAACACACGCCAAACGTCCCAAAGTTTGGCAAGGGACTCCGGGTTCCTACCGGCCACACACACAGTGCGTCTGCTGGCAGCGGCGAAGCGACATCAAACACATCAGTGCCACCGTTTCTCGTGACCGACCGACCTCACAACTTCTATGACATGAGCTCAGGTTTCCTGCCTTCTGCAACACACGTGCGTGCGCAGACTGCAACAAGTCAACAGCGAACAAACCAACGTCCCAGCTTAGATGTCTCTGAACCCGGGCTTCCCGGCAAGACACTTGCGTGCGCTAGCCAGCGCTAGCAGTAGCATGTCACCATAACCAGAACTAACCAAACCTGCTTCCGTGGTTTCTGAAACACAGAGAGGTGTGTGTGCCCCCACTCAACATGGCAACACCAGACGAACTAATGTCACAGCTTTCTGAGCTCACACGTTCTGGCACATGACGGACCTGTGTTACTGTGTTCTGACAGCAACAACATTTCAAACCGAAACGAATAAAAAACAAACCCATGTCGGCCCATGTCACAGTTCCTGGCAAATGCTTTCACGTTTTCCAAGAGCCAGGCTTCCGTGGCTTCTGCAACACACATGCGTGTGTGCTGGCAGCAACACGCCAACATCACTAATCACTAAGGCCACATTGACAAGAGTTCCTGCTCCTTCGTGCGATGAGCTGGCCTGACTGGCGGCAGCAGGTCCATACAACACACGCAAGATGTCCATGTTTGGCAAGGGACTCCAGGTTCCTACCGGCCAGACACACAGCGTGTCTGCTGGCAGCAGCGAAGCCACCGCTTCTGGCGACCGACCTCACAAGCTCTAAGACTCTAAGACACGAGCAAAGGTTTCCTGACTTGCGCAACACACATGTGTGTGCAGACAGCAACAAGTCAACAGCAAACAAACCAGGGTCCCAGTTTGGATGTCTCTGAACCCGGGCTTCCCGGCAAGACACTTGCGTGCGCTAGCCAGAACTAGCGGTAGCGTGTCGCCATAACCAGAACTAACCAAACCTGCTTCCGTGGTTTCTGAAACACACACATGTGTGTGTGTGCGCTCCCACCAAACATGGCAACATCAATGAACAAATGTCACAGTTTTCTGAGCTCACATTTTCGGGCACATGACGGACCTGTGTTCTCTCTCTCTCTCTCACAGTCACGCAGAGCGAGTCTACAAGCGAGACCACTCGTCAGCAGCCCTTGAAATGGGACTAACGTGCAGGGAAAACGTAAAAGTCGGCGGAAGCATACGGCATACGGCATGGGAAAACAGTCCAGGGAAACTACATACACGATGAGCATGTCTATACAGGGCTCTTCGTTACCCTTTTCGGGTGAGACGATGGCAGGACTAGGGTAAATTTTCCGGCCACCGTGGGAGAACTTAGTATGAAAGGAGACTTCACTCACTGATGAAGCTCACCCGACGCACAAGGGGCATTCGTGACCACTCGCCGATAAAAGACGCAGCACCTGATAGTCAATCGATATTTGCATAGAGCATGGGAAGGCCGTGGCCCCCCGGTTAGCATCACGTCGGCTCCCCTAGACAGCATTGTGGAATAAAATCAAATGGCTACATGACAAAGTGGAGTTGTCGTCACCCAGTGTGGGGAAGCATAGAACAAATCATCTTGCTAGTAATCCAGGCATGCGCCTCTCTGCAAAGTGCGGGGGAGCGCACCTGCAGTCCTGACAGTCGGTTGGGGTGTTCCAGAGGTTTCCGGCTGCAGCATATTGGGAGCCACCGTCTCCCAGAGTTGGCTAAACACGTAAGCATAGGAAGCGTGGCCAGGTGGGTTAACCATAGGGAGTGGCGCATCGCCCGCGTCGGTGCCGCCATAAGGGTAGGATGTGAAGAAAAACACAAACATGCAACCCTCGTTTCTTGAGCCATAGTATCGCACGAATCTCGGCTTCACAAGTGAGACTGCAGACGAAAGTAGAGAAAAGTAAAACAAGAGGAAAACATCAAATACCGGTGGGCATAAAGGAGTGCAAAGTTTTCACACCCCGCCTCGGTGTATGCTTTCAGCATAGACACCGTTTTGAAAGTTTGCACCACCGTTGGTATCAGAACAAGTGCACTTAGTTCATGAACGTCTGCATCGTAGTGGATGGCGATAGTTACGCCTTTCAGCGGTAGTTACGCTACGTATGTACCGATTGGGCTCATTCGATACTTCAGCTGCGACTGTACAGCAGCTCTGCAACTACGCAACTTTGCATACAAGGCTTGAGAACCCTGCACGCAAAGATTGCTTGACATACCCAAGCGAAGGCATTGTCCAAGAATGACAAGCGACTCATCTGTGCGGCTACGGTCGCACCGATCACTCAAGGAATCACAACTGCAGATTAGGACACCCTAGAATGGCATCCGGACGGTTGTCACAAACCAGTCCACGCGGATTTATGGCTGCTCCACAGCCAACGCATTCGAAGTTGGTTATTTTCAAGATTGACACGCAAAATGCGTGTGAGGTGTGGGTGTCTTGACACACCATGCCAACCATCATTCAAGGAAGCATCACACAAGGTCGCGGTAATCAGTCGGTACAGTTTAACTCAAGCTATGTACAGTAGGCCACACGTGTCAGTAGTGAATACCCTGAGGTTCTCACCACTGACTATGTACAGATGTCCACTGCATCGCATCATGAGCATTTGGCTTGCATAGCCTGAAGACACAAGTGTGTTAGCATTTCAAGAAGATCACGGCCGGCATACACCACAGGGCGTGTAGCCTTGGTGCTCGGCCTCAGCGCGACTCAAACTCACCACATTGTTGGCACTGTGCAGCTTGCCACATCCAATTCGATGATAACGACGTCCTTGATTTGTCGCAACCCAGACTTCACCGGCAGGTGGCTGTGCATTGCGACGTGGACGCGGGGGCTTAGGCAGCTGCGATCCTTGCATGTGCAGGCGCTCATTGCGCTTTTCACTTTGTGGGCTGCTTTTGGCCTTGCTGGAAGCGCCTCTGCGCTCGGCCTGGCTTTGCATTCGAGCCTCACGGGCTGCTTCAGTGATCCACGCTTCGGCATCGAAACTTTCTTCAGCGCTGCTGCAACCTGCACTAGGTGTCTCTTGCGACGAAGCTGAGGTGT